GCTGCCAATACAGAGAAGCTCAAACTTTTCCCCCCATGAAAAATATCATGGAAGGATATCAAAGAAATTGATAGAAAATAATATGGGTCTGGTCAGTGAATTTAATATAATGGTTATTACCAACAAGTGTTTCTGAGGTATATCTTATAATTTTGTTGTAGTACAAAAAGAACTTTAGATCTTTTTCTTGGCCACTACTGTCTCCTCATTCATACAGGGTCTAATGCAAGAAATAGTCAGGAAAAAATAAACGACCTACTCTCACATAAGATGTAAAGCACTACGAAGTGCCCTAGTTGAAGCCATGGGAAAATGACTCTTTTCCAGCATTCTTGTTGTAGTTTTTTTTCTCTTTATCATATTTGTTTCTAACATGTCAGGACAAGGTGTAGTTAATAAATTAACCTGGAAAAAAATTATGAATAACCAAACTGTGTTCTTTAATCTTAAATTGGTTAGTGATGGGAAAACACTCTCCACAGTGTACCTGCAGATCATTATCCGCACACCAGTTTGGATCATAATTAGCTCGATACCAACTCTCATATATTTGAAGCAATTGAATGTGATCACCCCAACCAGAACCATCAGGTAATTTTGGAAGTGGCTCTTTCCTCTTCTTTTCCTTGCTCTTACTGCAAATAATAATATATGGTGTAAGAAAAATAGAGATAAGCATACAAAACCTTTACGCATAATTATCAGTTTGAAGGTATTAATATTCTGCATGATATGTAGGACTTCCACCAAAAGAATACAAAGATTGTTGATGCTATGTTGATGGTCTTTTTAATTTGATAAATAACAAACTATTAACATATTTGATGGCTTTTTAATTGAGTTGTGCATGAAAAAACATAACGAAATATAGACATTGGAGTGGATATTACGGGGGTCCAGGGGGTAGCACGCCTCTGCTGGGGATCGGGGGTGAAGCCCCTGAAAGGTACGACATATTCAATTGTTGGAGTATATCGAATAAGTTCAAACTGATATCCTGATTGAAAGAAAGATGCACAAACGGCCCAGATTTTATATGCTCAATTCAAATTGGACATGAACCATTTGTTGCTTTCTAGGTTAATTGAGGATCAAATAAATACGAGAGCAGTGACCAAAAAGTATAGAAAAGGACTCCAGGAAACAAAAGCCGTTGTCTCTCTTCAAGATCCAGGAGTCCAAGATACATTGGAGGAGGATTTTCACCCCTTCAAGCTTCATCAACAATGTGATCTCTACAGGCACAGCGTTTGATGATCAAAAGCAGTTTCTACAGATCTATGTCTCTTAAAGGTGTAATATGTTTCTAGTTTATTTGTGTTTATTTATTTTTTATTGTGAAGTTTGTGATCATGGTAGATTGATCGGACATGGAATCTCATTTTTAAAGGGTGGATTGAGTGGAGATTATCTAGAATGTGTATTGGCTTGTTGCCTATTGAGATCAGCGTAGGATCAGGTGTAACATGCTGTTTTTGGCCGGACAAACTTGGGGGGTTTGGATACTTTTCTAGACAGTGGAAGTGTGGAACATCTCTAGGGTGAGATAAAGGTGTGTTTGTAGGCAGCGACCAAACCACGTAAAACTTCTGTGTTTGTGGCATGCTTTTGTCTTTCATTATTTGCTTCCACTAATTAGCAAGGTTTTAAATATCGGTTATCGGACGGTCAAAATCCATATCAGATAGCGGATATCGGGGATATATAGGGATAAGTAGTATTTATCAGAGTGACATTACCGGATGGTGATGTACATAATATAATATTCTAAAATGTAATCTAATCGTACTTGATGAAATATAAACATACCAAAATGCAAATAATTATCTTTAGCATCACTAACCAATGGTAGAAACTCGGGTAGGGTGGGGTTTAAAGTGCATTGAATAGATGCCCGTTGCCCGAAATCAAAACTCAAACCAAATGCTGATAATTCCAGATTTTGGTCCGACAATATCGGCCAATAACTCACTTTATTGCCGCATTATCGGCAATAAACATCCAAAAATCATAACGGAAGGGCCCCAAAACCGATAAATCGCCGATAATATCGGTTTATCAGCCGATATTTAAAACATTACTGATTAATTGTTTAATTTTAACTAAAATTTTTTTTTTTGCCTATCCTAACAGAGATGGTTGAATAATATATTTGTCAAACTATCCACTGTAGTGCTGGATGCCTGAATGGTACAATCATCTATTGTTTCTGATTATTTGAAGTCTTCATTTGGTTTCATAGGATTCCTCTGATGATAAGATATCCTGCATCATGATGTTTTCTTGGTCAAATAGTACCAAATAGGCCTTCCAGGATCAATGGACACCGGACAATAAACTGAAAAAATTGATAATAAATTGTATATCTTTAACAGCTTTTGACTCTCTACTCAGATTTTTATAGTGGCTGTGTAGGCACTTTGGCACTTGGCAAGCAAGCAATTTTTTCCATTGGATGTAATTTACCTACTCACTAATGTGACGTGAAGAATAAAATATTGGTAGAAGAGTGTTTCAAGCAAGGTCACCTGAAAGCAGGACGAAGTGTGGTTTCTGCTGACAGCATAGCTGCAACAGTCAAAGCCTGGGATAAACAATCCAGCCCATTTGCCTCAATTAAAGTCCTTGAGAGCGAAGGCTCCAGTGGAAGTTCTGTGAAAATTAGAGATTTGAGGAACTCACAGTTCAAAGATTGAAAAATGATGGTACGATGGAAGAAACAATATGTTTCTGGCAGAAAAAGGAAGAAAAAAAGCCTATAGTTTATATTTTATGCTACAATGTTTCCATTAATGATGCTAAAAACATTAGACCAATGCTACACAACTGGCACTTGAAAATTAGAGCTCTAATGCAAGTATAATCCATTACAATTTAAAATAATATTAAGGGCATGCACAAGAACATGAATACAGTCCCATGAACACATCACAAATTTGAAAGTGTGAGCTTTCAAAATACAATATCCATGAGGTACTTCAACACATTTATGCCAACCCACATTTATGCATCCGCGCAACCGAGGTTCAAAGTCAATTTAATAAGCTCTTTAAAAGGCGTCGAATATAGATATTTGTCAATCGACCACAAGTTGACAAGAAAGAAAACTAGATACATTATATTAAAAATTTCTAGCTTTGTAGAATTTGCAGTGGAAACCACTTCCACATGCATTTTATCAAATTGACATTTGATTCATGAGAAACAAAAGAAATTGGAGATGAGTCCTAGATTTATGTTACTATAGAACTTCTTCAGACAGAAAAGACTCTTTAGCCAACTTATAGTTAACGAACAGAACCAAAGTTTAAAGGCGTGTGTCAATTTCTTCATATATGTAACTTTTACCCTAAATACAATTCCATATTGCTTTCCTTGGGGCAGAAAAAAACTAGCAAGGGCCTGACTTTTTTTTGTGGGTGTCAAACATACACAATTTGAATAGTTATATTGTTTAGGGCTTTTTCCTAGAAACCACCTTAAAATAGGGTCATTTTATAGAAACAACTTTTCATTTTCAATTTATAAGTAAACCACCTTTAAAGTGGCTTGTTGCTCCAATTGACAACCTACCCGAAAAAAGTTCACTTTAAACCCAAAAATACCCTTAAAACTCACATTCAAGACACACGACTCACTTTGTTAATGTTCAGGTCTAATGAGGAAATAACTCATGTACCTTAGACATGCATTTTTAAGGTTATTTTGGTTTTTTTTTAGTTAAGATTTGACTAGGAGGTGGTTGATTGGAACAAAACCCCTCTTAAAAGGTGGTTTTACTTATAAATTGAAAATGAAAGGTGGTTTCTGTATAATAACCGTATTTTTAAGTTGGTTTGGGGAAAAAACCTATTGTTTATATTACTGAACATAAATCCACTGGCTGTATCAAACATGTAGAATTAATCTTAGTTTAAAGTGTAAACTCTAAAATACATGTCAATACAACCTTATGCAATCATTTCATTGTACACTAGATATATAACGTACTAGAACTCCGCAATGATTAAGTTTAAAAAGATGATGCAGGACTTGGCCCCTGCTTCAATACATCATAGTTAAGCTTCCTGCATCCATGCCCTTCATATTGTTATCTGAAAGCCTTATATCCAGTTCCTTAAGCTTCAATTTCTCACAAAAGAAAAAAAAAAAATCTGAGTGCTATTCCTACTTTTGATAATTATTAATAACTGGAAATACATTGACCCAGGTTCCTACTATGTTTAAGCATTTTGTAGACTTCAAGTAAAAGAAACAACAACTTCAACACCTTTTCAGCTACTACTATAGATCAAGTAGTTTGCATTTGTGTGCAATTTTGTGTCTGTTGGTCCAACCTTTTACAAGCATTAAAATTTCATGTCAGTGTACTTACCGAGTATGGGTATGACAGCCCACATGCGCAGTTAAAAAGAATGCTTCATAGTTGTAGTAGTTGATTTGGGCTATTTGGCAATTAAGTTGGAAAAAGGTCCCATTAATACACCTAACCAGTACAATGAAATCTGGGAAACTACCCATTTGTGTCACGTAGAACAAATTATGGAGATATAACTGCCTACACTACGTGGAAATATTTCAGTGTGATAAAACCAGGTTTTCTTACCATGTTGATCTATCATTCTATATCAAGTATCAACTACTTGCATACAAGCATAAACGACTGTAATATTGTACATATTGTCTGCAAACCAGAACCTCCTGATATGGGTCAGATCGAATTATTCTTTATGAATGATCAGTATGGTGCATATTGAGAAAATGATGCCACTAGAGGTAAACGCCATTGATTGCTGGGTTGAATCGCTATCAATTATTATCTTACTTTTTTATAAGAAGGTGCTTTTAACAGAATCATCGAGAGGATATGAACATATATAAAAATATTACCAGCCATAGTTCGCCCTATATTTGTTGTCCGCCCATTTTCATCAATTGCATCAATGAGATACAATTGCCTCAGAGCATCCTCCAAAGATTCACCTGCATAATTATCTCTTCTCAATCATCAATGTTGGGGGTAGATGACACATAAAGAAATTAAGAGAAGCAATTTTCTTATTCAGGACAAGGACATGGGAAAATAAAAAGTAGAACGGAGAGGGGTCCATAGTTCTTACGTGATGGTGGATCCAGAAAGTCAAACTTCAATATGTCAAAGTCGGACAAATTTAGAGACTTCAAATAGAGTACGCTTCCAGCAAGGGACGATCGCTGAATTTCAGGCACTGTTGCATCAAGCAACTCCTCATGATATACAGAGGCAGGGTATAATCTGTAACATTTTCCCGGACGAGTTCTTCCAGCTCGTCCAGCGCGTTGATCTGCTTGCACTCTAACCATACAAGCCAAAGGTTAAGATAAACTATTCATCAGATTCAGTAGTTAACATATGCACAATGTCTCCAGTATAAAACAGCAATCCACTTTTGGACTTCACTGCTGTGAGACTGACAAAATTAATAGGTATATGGTGCAAAAACATAACGAGATACAAAGCCTAAGAATGCAGTTTTACATTAAAACTATTGCAAATTACTAGTCCTAAGGCTTGATTCAGAAAATACAAAAAGATAAGAAATCGCATTTGACAGTGCAGAAAAAGAATTTAAACAGTTAAAAGGAATATCAATATCTTACAGAATGTTGCATATATCCTCAATGCTTTGCATGCAAATATAAAACCATAGTTGAAAGAAAAAGTCTATTAACCTGTGCATCAATTTTTGTTCATTTCTGATATAGTAAAATATTGAGTATCCATTTGACATACAATGTATGTTGATCATAGCGATAAAAAGAAATGAAACTGGTCTGAGACTCTGAATGTAGAGCTGTTCGCAGGATGCTATAAAACTGAGCAAAGAGGAAGTGTGCAAGTTCAGGCTCTAAGTGGTATTGAGGGTTCTAATCAAATTAGTTAACTGGGCTTAATGAAGATGGTGGAAATAGGTTTAAAGCAGGGAGCATTCAAATAAAAGGAATAAACAGTACATGATCAAATATAATTCTCACAGGAGTCCATTTGTCAACATGAACTTACAGTATCATATAGATTTAACTGTTCGCTGAATCACAAGCGCAAGGATTTTTTTTTTGTTGGAATTTGATATATTTAGTTTATTGAAGTATTCAAGGTTTTGTCGCTTTGTTGTAGATATCCTGAATTCCTAAATTCAAATATATACCCTTTTGTAGTTTATAAAGATATGTAGTTTATAAAGATACAAGAATTACCTTCCACTACCGAAGGTTAAATTACCACAATCAATTCTAACTCTAAGAGTTAATTTCAATTGAGAGAGATTTCCAATTCACAATTTTTTGGTGTTGGAATCTGATAAATAAGTAGTCCACATTGGATTGAAATTCCTCAGCTGGAAAACAAATCAAGCATGATTTAGGTGGAATCATGGAGCTGCGATACCATGCGTTCTAATACATCCAACCAAAGGAACCATAGATCCAATGTTACATTAAACGTTGGGCGCTTCTAGGCGTCGGACTTGGCGCCCAAACCATAGATCCAATGTTACATTAAACGTTGGGCGCCTAAACGATTTCTGGGCGTTTTTTTTCTTTCTTCATTTAAGTGGTGGTCGATGAGGTTTTGCTGAAGGTCGGAGGAGGTAGTGGAGATGTTCATATTTGGAGGTTAATGGAGTTTGGAGGACACGTAGGCTACGACACATAAAATCATAATCAAGGCCTACAGGGTGCAATCTACGTAAGCAGACAATACTCCCCTAAACGCTCGTAAAATCTAGGTGAGCAGCCTAAATACCGTCTAGGCGCTAGTTAAGCGGTCTAGGTACCGCCTAGGTCTAGGCGTACGCCTAAGCGGACTAGGCAGAGGTTTTTTAAAACAGTGCATAGATCATTCATCTTTCACATGAATTAAGAGGTATTTAACTCCCTCATGCATGTAAATAGGGAGGGAGAGACTCATGAATTATAATATCATAGAAGCAAAGAGGGCATAAGGGTTGGTTGGCTGGTGTGAGTTGTTGGTGGCGTGGTGCTTGACCAAAACATTCATTATAAATAAACTACCAATTCTTTTACCAATCAATTCCTGCTCTACCGCTGCTTCTGCTCAGCTTTCTTCATTATATTTGAAATACGAATCAATTTCCCATACTTCTTTTAGCTTCCTTTCACTTCCACCTATTATATTTTGTTTGAAGATTTGTCTTCCACCAGATTCTAAACAGCAAAAAGATATTGTGAATATGCAAAGCTATTAGACAACTTATATTATGTGGATCGTAGCATCCATATAAAGACTTTCTATAGCGCTTTACGTAAAGAAGGCTAGCTAGGACAAAAACAACCATAGACAGCAATTGAAAATGAAGTTACCTGCTAATCTGTACAACCTCAAGAGAATACATTCCTGTGGATGGGTTGTATTGGCGCTGCTTCACATAACCAGGATCAATTACATACCTGTGAGGAATGGAATGGCCTAACAGTAAGTAAGAAAATTTTCAAAAATTGGCTATTTCATGATTAAAAAGAAAAATATGATCAGGTAGAAAGTTCTTATCACTTCATAATTTTAATTATATAGGATGCACATAGATATATGTGTGTGTAAACACTTCTAAAAATTTTGGTGGCTTCATTGTATTGTTAGTAAATTGCATAAGCAGGGTCAATTTTTTCTTAATCAATTTGTCACACCAAAGTAGCATAAACTGCTGCAAGTTGAGAGATTCTGTGTATGTTCTTTTTTGAAACGAGGCTTTCTGAGATATTGAGATTGCACCCACTACTGAAAACTGTAAGTTCATCTTTTTTTATTTTCTTGTCATTACTTTTTATCCGCTGTCTTGTCCTTTCATCTATAAGCATGACCTTCAAAATTCCTGTTGTGTATAGTACATGGTTTAAAATCCAAATCTTGATAATGCTATCAACCTTTCTAAGCTATTTTCTTTATCAGTAGTTTCAGACTTTTGCCAGTTTCAATTGGCATCTTAGATCTTTTAAAGCTTAATTTTAAAAAGTAATAAAGATAGTTAGCGACTCTTTGGCATGTTTCTTAAAACATTTTATGGAGTTATATCAGGTTATGATGTGATTCAATATCACAGGATTGAATGATTGAGGCTGCAGTGATTGCAAAATAGACAGTAAGTGTTTTAATAAACATGACAAGAATGAATAAGGAGATGAGTCATATATCTCAATGATGGAAATCTAATACACTTACATGCATAGACTAGAAACTGATTGTCCGGATCATTTACCAATTGTATATTGGCATTTATTTGGTTCAACTGCCAGGACCAAAATGAAGATGATGTTTAATCAAAGTACATAGAGCAAAATGAAGAAAATGTTTGATCATTTAACCTACATCTGGTAATTTTTTCAGAAGTTCCTATCTATTTGATATATTCATAAAATTTATAAGTAATGCTGAATCAGAACATGGCCGATGGACCAAATGACATGGACAAAAAGTTGGGAGATTTCTTTTTCTCTCCATGCTGTTTATCTCATGGTCATGGAGCCCACCACAAAGTCGTGGTCCAATGATCTGTCACTGCTCACAATTTGTATGTACAAAAATACAAGAAAGAGAACTAAAAAACAAATTGAAAATGAACGATCTGCAAACAATCACTTAACATCATTAACAATAGGAGTTTTATTAAATTGTAGATGCAAAATACATCGAAGAACTATGAGACAAACAGAAAACAGAGCAGTAAGCAAAGATCTCTTACACGACTCCGTCTACAGTCAAGGAAGTCTCAGCTATATTGGTAGCTACTATAAACCGTCTGCAATTTGGGGGTGCTGGACCAAATACACGTACCTGTATTTCAAATAAGAAGCTTAAGGTATTAAAAAATTAAATTTGCATGTTATTTCTATTTTAACATCAGATATTTCGAACAATAAGTATTGTATATCTCAAATGAATGCAGTCAGAATTTAATTAAGATGCTGCTAATGAATTGCTAATTTAATAATTCTAAAGATGACAATGCAAGTGACACTATTGCATCTAACGTGAAACAAATACCCAAACACTAAGGTGTGAAGTTTTATCCAGTGCTAAGCAAACTCGAAGGTATGAAGCCTTTAATCTTACCTAATTTTCTTACTAAGGATCACCAAAACCTATAGGCACTACTTCTTCCACTCAAATACTAACTGCCACCAAATTTGTACGCCACTAATATATTAATCAAAGACATTGGTTTCCACACCAGCATACCCTCAGCACACAGGCCTTCCAGTGTGAAATCTGGGTTTCTGACAAATATTCATACATATGTTACTAAACCACTTCCGTTTCTTCTCATTTCATCTGGGTGACAACACAAGTCTTTACCTAAAGACTCTATATTATAGACAACTTCTTATCTCATATTTGACTTTAACCTAACCCCATCCTCTGTACCCACAACATAGTTATGCCTGTGTGCATTCCCATTTCCAGTGTTCATTCCATAAATGGTACTTTCCCTTCACAATTGCAATTAAAAGACAAAACAATAACTCATATATGCTCAGACACCAATGCCGCTATTTAATCCTGCACCATGAACAGGTAGAGATATTGAAAGAGAGAATCAAATAAGGAATATGAAACACAAATTAAGGAAGAAGAAACATACTGCAAAGAGACTGATTAGGAGAGAAAAGAAAAAATATACCAGTTCTACTTATACGAATACACATATATACATGCAAATATAGGCATCAGGATTACTGTTCTCTTAACAACATGAATATAAGCTACATCCTCAGAAAGAACATTGGACAGGTAGTGAAGAAGCTGAGTACTTAGAGTAACAACTGTGATTCCAAGAAAGGATTCCGTACATAAATTGTTTTTACCTTGTTTCTAAATGCATGTATTTCACATGTTGACTGATTTCAGTGTGATTTTCTCAAATTTCAAATGTAATAAAGTCAAGACAAATTTGAAGTATCCATTGTTTGCCAGCCATCATGTATGTTGATGGTATAACAATAAGAAATTCCAAAAATGAGCTATTGCATGAGGTTCAATTCTTTTCAACAATGTCATACCCAAGCGATTGCTACAGCTGAAGTTAAAGTTTGCTAATTAAAGTAACATAATTCATGCTATACTTCTCATCGTCCTTCAAAAATAATTCTCAGTCTTGTATCATTAGATTAAAAAAACAAAATTACCTATTCTAGAAAATTTCCTCTGGAATACTGAAACCAAATCAAAGCTTGAGAAAATTAATATGAAACTTTTTATGCATAGTTATATTTTAGGCACATATATTGCGGCTCCTGCTATAGAAACAATCACTCTTTCGAATAACTACATAGTAAACTATAAATAACTACATAGTAAACTATAGCATATTTGTAGCTTTAGTTCCAATCTAGGTAAGACATGCATGTCCTTTTTCTCATGGCTGCTGCCTGCTGGGACAGAGTTACCCAATGCTTATTCAACAAATACCGTCAATGCTTCTTTTCCAAGAAAAAGTGCATGATTCATAGGCCTTGTTTGCGTCAGAAATCGATTTCTTAGTGGAATCCATTACAATCGTTTATCAACTTTTACAGATTCAAAAAAGATGAGTCTTTTTATAAGACTTCTTTACACAAAAGAAATTAATCAACAATTCCCAACAATTCTCTAGAAACACACGCAGAGGACGTTTATCACCCGCTGCTTGCATGGGGTCTTCACCTGTGTCGGGGTTTATCCGTGGACCACCGCGGATCAGATCCGGTTGATTTTGTTGTCTCGCAAAGGAAACAAGAAATTAAAGTTAATGACTCAACAAGGTGAGGCAAACACTCTTCTCGAGATCAAATCAAAGTTTGATCTCAAGGGAAGCAGATATCGGGTGTTAAAGGGTTGCAGATCTGCCGAACTCCTCTTTGAAATTCGTGCTCCTCTTCTATTCAAAATGACTGGGCTTCGCCGACAGCTCCAAATTCTCGATCTCCCGTGTATAGGGGCCCTAGGACTGTACTTATAGGCTTCAAAAGCTTTGTTTTCGGATAAAAATTGATGATTTGATCTCATCTTTAATTATAACAACTTTACCACGTTCAAAGATAGCCTCAAATCAGTTGGGGAGGTTCTGGGATAGCCTCAAATCAGTTGGGGAGGTTCTGGGATGAAATCTTATCGAAAAAATGAACGAAAACAGCTTTACTGGGTGAGAGACACCGCTGGTGTCTCACCCTTGGGCCGAGACACGATTGGCCGAGACACCAATGGTGACTCGCCCATTGGGTGAGACACCGCTGATGTCTCTCCCATTTGGGCAAGACGTCGTTGGCATATTTCTGTTGTTTTGCCTCTAACTCTCCCGTCCAATCTCGGAATGAAATGATCCAAAATGCGTTGAAAAGCTGGAGATCTACAACCTCCCAAAGGCGAAATACACATGGAGTGAGCGAGACACGAGTGGCGCTTCGCTCCTTTGTGGGTGAAACATAACCCCCGGTCGAGTCGTTTCTTCGTTATTTTATTATCTTGTTGACTCGTATACTTTGCCAACTCGCTTCATGCGCTTGTTAGCTTCGCTACAGCATCAGATAATCCTCCTTGATTTGGATAATGATGTTCATCGTCTTTTTTCTGTCTCAAGCTGCGTGCGGGAACCTATAGATAATTTTTGACGTCTACAGATACCCCTCCAAAGTGTTTCAGTCTCGTTCTTCTGAAATACTTTGAATGTGATAGACCCAACCTTCAATCTCTTCAGTATTTTATCGAAGAGATCAGCGTAGAAGGATCTGTAACTAACTTCAGTTCTTGATTTCTTCAATTCTCATTCTATTCAGTATTTTGGCGAATAGCTGAAATTCTTTCGGTGCTGCGTTTATCGTCTGACTGTTGTCGAAGTCTTGAACTGAAACCGATGTATTGGTTTCTAATTGTACCTCGTGTCTTTGAATCGACGTTGAACTGATTATCTTTGTCGGTGACGCGTATCTGAATTGCGATTGAAGTCCCGGAAGTATCCTTTGACCTGGAATTGATCTGAGCCTTGTTTCGGCGAAAATTATCGATACGTTGACTTGTGTGGACTCATGGCTACGTGTTGACCGACGTTGACTCATGGCTACGCGTTGACCGGCTCCGACTCATGGCTACGCGCGTTGACTCATGGCTACGTGTTGATCGTCGTTAACTCATGGCTACGCGTTGACCGGTGTTGACTCATATCGCAACACGTTGACCGACATTGACTTTCATCACAACGCGTTGACTGACGTTGACTCATAGCTACACGTTGACCGACTCATGGCTACGTGTTGACCGGCGTTGACTCATGACTACGCGTTGACTAATGTTGACTCATATCACATAGACCCAACCTTCAATCTCTTCAGTATTTTATCGAAGAGATCAGCGTAGAAGGATCTGTAACTAACTTCAGTTCTTGATTTCTTCAATTCTCATTCTATTCAGTATTTTGGCGAATAGCTGAAATTCTTTCGGTGCTGCGTTTATCGTCTGACTGTTGTCGAAGTCTTGAACTGAAACCGATGTATTGGTTTCTAATTGTACCTCGTGTCTTTGAATCGACGTTGAACTGATTATCTTTGTCGGTGACGCGTATCTGAATTGCGATTGAAGTCCCGGAAGTATCCTTTGACCTGGAATTGATCTGAGCCTTGTTTCGGCGAAAATTATCGATACGTTGACTTGTGTGGACTCATGGCTACGTGTTGACCGACGTTGACTCATGGCTACGCGTTGACCGGCTCCGACTCATGGCTACGCGCGTTGACTCATGGCTACGTGTTGATCGTCGTTAACTCATGGCTACGCGTTGACCGGTGTTGACTCATATCGCAACACGTTGACCGACATTGACTTTCATCACAACGCGTTGACTGACGTTGACTCATAGCTACACGTTGACCGACTCATGGCTACGTGTTGACCGGCGTTGACTCATGACTACGCGTTGACTAATGTTGACTCATATCACAACGCGTTGCCCGACGTTGACTCATGGCTACGCGTTGATCGGCGTTGACTCATATCGCAACACATTGACCTGCTTTGACTCATGGCTACGCGTTGATTGGTGTTAACTCATGACTACGCGTTGACCATAGTTTATACTCATACGTTAACTAGAGTTTCGGGAATCAGCTTAATCTCGTGTACCCGTCGGAGGTTCAAGGAGATGCAGTTTATACTCATATACTCATAGGAGTGTGAATATGGGCTTCAAATACAACGAAAAGGGCAAAAACACATGTCAAAAATGCTCGGGACTTCCCCTAGTAGGCGAGACACGAGTGGTGTCTCGCCCTAAGCGCGAGACATGAGTGGTGTCTCAGCCTAGGTCTGAGACACCCCTTGTGTCTCAGTCTAGGTGTGAGACACCTTTTGTGTCTCGACCTAGGAGAGAAAAAAAGAGAGGGGAAAGAGAATTTTGAAAGAGGAGAGAGAGGGTGGGTCGGCCCTAGGGAGAGAGAAAGAGAAGTACCTTTATTGTCCAAGGGTTTTTTCATAACCCTCCCCCAAAACCGTATCCCTCTCCCTCTTCTTCCCAAGTTGTTTCCCTTCTACAACTCTTTCAAACCCATGATTCTTCTTTTAAGAACTCTTCATCTCCTCAAACTCTTGGCTTTTAAAACCCCTCAACCTCTCTAAAATTTCGGAAATCATCCCCTTTATTTGGCCGAAATTCTTATCCTCTCAAAAGCTAGAGTTTGTTGGCTCTTTGAGTTCAAGACTTGGGCTCAAGCTTCTATTTGGGTAAGCTTTTCTCCATAGTTTTTGATTTTGTATGTTTGATTTTGATTCAGGAATCATGGGTTTGATTCATTGATTCAAGAGAGTAA